CTTTAATATAGGCAATGTTTAACTAGTACTTATTATTCTTGTTTGGCGTATATTTATTTTCATTAATTTTTGTAGTTTCTGTGATTCTTTAAAATGACTACAATGTGAAAAAAAAAATTCCGAATAAGTAAGATAATTACAGAAATTTCCTATGAATTATTAATCAACACTTTTTTCTTTTTTTGGAGGAAACGAATTAACAGTTAACATTGATTGTTGCAATATCATTCTCATCATTAAATTTGTTTATTAAGCCATGATCAATGAACCTACAAAACCCTTCAAATTGTAAACTTTTTCATTAAAATCTATTATAATTTTATTATTTTTTTTGTTTTAATTTCCATTTAATCAAAGGGAGCACTCCCCTGAGATGAATTTTAATTTTATAGATAGTTTTTTGATAAATTAAGATATATATTCTCGAATAAAAATTACAAATTTGAATCCTACCTTACATGTTAAGTACTCCACACAAGGAAAAAAAAAGAAAAACTTCACGTTTTTATTTTTTTAGAGATATAAGATAAAAAACAATAAATTTGATTGAATTGAAATTAAAAAATGGATATTTAAAGTTGATAACCTTTTCATTTTTTTTGATGTTTGATAATTGTTTTTATTTTATATTTATTTAGTATTATAATAGTGCGGCCAAAATGTTAAATTAGTTTCTTTAAATAACAAGGTGACAAGAATACGATTAGATCCAGTATCCCAAAAGAATACGATGGGTAATTAGAATCTAATTGGAACAATATAAAATTATGGACGAATCTAGAATTAATTATTGTATATATATAGCAGGGTGGTCCAAAACTATATGGAAAAGATGGATCAAATATTCAAAATCCAATAGAAGAGAACACAAGTGTGATGCCACCCTTAATCATTTATAGTTTCTTTAATGAATTAAAGAAATTAATCAATATAGAGAAAAAAGAGTGATGCTTACAAAGAATAATAATATTATTATTCTATAAACCACATTCTAATTTTTTTTTTTTTTGAATTAGCATAAGTGTCCATTCTATGGATAAAGTTCGGTTGATATATAAAATATTTGATATTAGCTCCAATTTGATCACTTTACTTATACCCTATCAAAAAAGAGTTAATGACCCATAAATGCAAGATAATAATAAGTAGAATGTGAAATGACATATTCTAAAATGCATGGTCGTGATAGGTTTCTTGCTAAAAGATTAAAGAGTTTACAGATTGCATAATATTATTCGTTGTTGTGTGTAGTGCATGGTGCCATGTCGTCCAAACAATCATAGTACGACTGCTCATCAAACATCAAATAAATCTGTAGAGCTCGCTTTCTTTTTGCCATACCATAGTCGGAGAGAGGATCAAATACTTTTAGGATATAGGTCGGGATAAATATGCTTTTCAAACTCAAACAATAAAATTAAAGAATCATTTCAATAGCTTTTGAACTGATTTTAGTAATTTCAAAACTTAAATATGACTTGAAGATATAATTTCAAATAAGAGGTAGTTTAATTTTCTACCCAACAAAATGCAACCCAGCTAGTAAACTTAGTTGGGTTGATTTAAGAGTTTCATCCAAATTTTGAAGAAAGAAAAAATCCATAAAACTAGAGATATATATATATATATGTATATTAATGTGATATAAACTAACCATATTTTAAAAAAACAATAAAAAAAAAATTGTGATCAAGCACTTGCGTTTAATTGTGTATTAATGGTAGCGCCATTGATGGGAGTGGCACCTGTATTCCAATTGAAATTTGAACAAAAACCAAATAAAGAATCTTGAAGATAAGATTCAACCTCCCATAAAGAATCCAAAATTGGCCTATCTAATTGTAAAGCAAATAATATTGTTTTACGTTTTATTTAATAACCAAGACCCAACAAGAATCCAAAATTGGGCTTATTGGTTGGCTGTATATTCCACTACATAAATATATGCATTTCATTAATCTAAAGGAGCCAAGGAAATTAATTAAAAAGACGCGGAAAATGAGCTAATTTACTAGGCAACCAAGTGGTCAATCAGTTGCCTCGTAATATTAGTAAGACACACACAAATATATATGTGTATTTATTTATTTATTTTGAAGAAGAGAATTTGTATACTGTCCGATTAAAATTTGAGACCAAAAGGGGATTTAACTTTTCTTTGTAAAAAAAAAGAAAGCCACTTATGGTTTAGCCAAACAAAGTGTAAAGTAAACTAATGTTTTTTTTTTTTAATTTTCTTTCTTTAATGCTTGGCATTTATGCAGGATTCACCTTTTTCTTTCTTTCTTTAGTAAGCCGAACAGATCTTTTGTATTGTTTCCATAAAAAGAAAAAGTTTTGGGAAAAAACTAAAAGAAAAAACAAAGGTTTATTAAAGGGAAAAATAACTTAACAGGTTAGGTTTAGATTTGGACCGCCTCTTTTGTTTAGCATCATCGAGATTATTCAACTATTTTTTTAGTATAATATGTGGGAGTGAGGATTCAAACTCATGATATTTTAGTCGATGATAAACACCTTAACCAGTTGAATTATGTTTAGATTGACCAATATATAATGTTACTTGTTCCCATGAAGATAGGCCCTTTAGATGAGGCGAGGATATATTTCCTAATGAAGCTCCTAATCTACCTAAAATTTATTTAGGATTTGTTGGTTTACGAGACGTTGTTATGTGTTTACATTTTTGGAACTTATATATCCATGATTTGGAGGGTGAAATTTACATTATAAGATTTCTTACCTTATGAACTTTTTTATAATTTGTATTATGGTTCATGAGATGTTCTTAGAAAATCTAACAATTTTTCTTTCAAAATGGGAATTTCTTGTGAGAATTTACCTAAAGGATAAACTTCTAATTTGAAATTTCTTAAAAAAAAAAAATAAATAGAGAATAATTCCCCGTGAAGAACCTGATCCAAACAGAGAATCCTGTCCCGATCTTCAAGAGCTTTCATGAAAAATTTCCCGGAGATGAGGAATAAAACAAGGGGTGAGAACGTTCCCGTCCATGCCCCACCCTATCCTAATAACACTCATGTGTACATTGTTCATAAAAGAAGATTCCGTTAAGATAATTTTTTTTTGGTCTAACATAAATATATCTTAGTGGTTATATATTCACTCATTCAAAGTCGGAGGTTTAAATCACTACCTTATTTAAAATGCACTGAAAAATGAGAGGAAAAAAAAACATTTTCTCTATGAATCGGAGATGAGCAACTTTATCCCAAGGTAATTAATGAATTAAATTTAACTGTGGTGCTATTTCTTCCCCGGTCCTCATTGTGATTGTTGGCATTGGATTTCCATTAGTTACATTTTTCTTTCGTATAAAGTATGGTTGCTGATCATTGTTTTCCATTAAGCTCCAAAATACTTTCCCATTATTTTCCTAAATTTAATTAAACAAACCATTTAAAATATGGTAATTTTTTCATGTGGTCCTAAAATCATAGTAAACAACAAATATATATATTATACACTATTGAAAAATTATACTTTATATATATATATTTGTCACTAATAAAATTACCTTGGAGTCCAAGAAAAAATTGTAATGATATTATTGAAAAAGTATTTGAAAAAAAAAAACGTCGTTGTAAGTCATTCCATTATAATTTTAAAGACAAGAACAAACTTTTAATTAATGCTATGGTCAGCACATTATTGTTTTGACGAGGATTAGAGCCATAATTAAGCATGATTAGAACCTTTTACTGGTTCCGTCGTGGAATTAGTTGCTGTATGGCTGTAATTAATTATATAAAAGCAAAAATTATTATTCAATGATTAATATGGTCAATTTGCTTCTTTAAAAATAAAATAAAAGCAGGGTCAATTTGCTAAAGCCAAAGCAGAAAATCAGACAAATTAATTAACAACTTTTTAATGTAATAATTAAGACAAAGTAATACAAGCTACACGGTGAATAAAAAAGCATGAGTCCTTATCGCATGGAGAAAACGACAACCCCTTGGTGTTGGGTCGATTTGTCGGTTCACATATTCCATTCCACTTCATTCCCATTTTAAGAAGTTGGGTTAAATTATAAAACTAAGGGCAGTTCTAAAATGATAATAAATCTAGCAAGTTAAAAATATTGGTATAATTTTTTGGAAAAAATCATCAACGTAGGACAACTCTCTATGCTACTTCAAAAACAAAAATAAAAAAATAGTGTAAACAGAAAAAGCAAATACCGCTTTTCATCATTTGTTTATCTGGTTACTGTTATATTAACATCAACATTTAAGTTACCAAGCTTAACAACATGAATTTATTATCAAAGTCAAAAATTAATTAAAATTATTTTAAATTTGAGAGATAACCATTCAAAGTATTAATTTTAGAAGGTTTGTAATGGATGACAAATAATTTGCCATATTTACAAATATAATATAATATAAAGAATAAGATTTTGTAAAACATGACAATTTTGTAAGATGAGCATCTATCACTTATATGGTCTATTACACGTTTATATGTCTATCCATCATAGAGGTCTATTACTATGATAAAGGTGCAAGGTTGAGATATTATGTTAATAAAGATATCCAAATTTCCCCTTAGAAAAAATAAATGTGGAATAATTCCTCGTAGGGAACCAATCCATGTAAGGAATCTTCGCCGATGCTTGCAAAACTTTATGAGAAATTTCGCAAGAACAAGAAATTAAATGGGGCTCGATGTGAAGGAGGGAAGTGAACACATTATCTTAAATTGAAATGTCTACAAACACTTTATTTTATCCCTTAATTGACCTACCATAATCCGCACCACACAATTACTTTAATTATTAGTTCAATCATCGCATCAATGTCACATTTTTTTTAGTTCAACTAGCCGTGGGACAAATTCTCCTATCTTTAGGATAGTAAGTAATGATTTGATCAATTCAACTAAGTTCTTATCAACCACATCACATCAACACATTTAAACAATAGGGTCAATGCCATTTACGACTCACGAGCACGAACACCTTACCTATGATAATCTCATTATTTTTTACAAGAGGTTAAGTTAATTACTTGAGGTATATTGAAGGAAAAGAAAAACATAACTCAAAACTTCATAAATTCTAGATGTGTAAAACAACTAAATTTTTGACATTTAGCCTTAAAAAGCAGAAGGCAAAATCAAACCACTTTTGGAGATACTCCTATAAATATGTATAGGAAGAAGAGAAGTAGTTTGTATCAGACAGCAAACTTAAATGGCCAGAGCTGAGATTAAACCCATCATGTCGTTGCTTCTCTTGTGCGCTTTCTCCTTGCTCTTCCTCACCTCTCACTCTCAGGGCCGAGTTCTTCTCACCACACACCATGAACATGTTGCACCACAAACCAATAACCTTCTTCTTCTTCATAAACTCCTCGACTTTCACCTGCACGAGCTCCGATACCGACACTGCAGGCCGCATTCCCGGTCGCTTGTTGGATCTGAGAGGATCGTCCCCGGAGGACCCGACCCAGAACACCATGTTTGAATTGAAATTAAAACCAATGTTGCAGTTGCAGGTAAAGTAATAAATGGGAGAGCTATGGTTTCGTTTGATATAATTATTTCAATTTCAAACTTTATCTTCTTCCTTAACTTCCTTGTTTCTCAAAGTCGTCCCATCTTCGATATTGTGTTTAATTTTGAGGAGCTTTTGTTGTAACGATCAATATATGGATCATATATATTTATAATATAAAGTTCCATCTTTTCTTTTCTCAACTATGTTTCCTAAATAGCCTAATTTCCTTTCTTCTATTGTCTTCTCTCTCTTGTAGTATTCAACTTATAATTTTTGGTAGGATAGGGTTTTAATTAACATGCAAAACCATGCATTCAAATTTTTATTAATGTCTTTTGTTTCTCAATAATATTGAACCCCGCTGGTTGTATATCATGTACTAATATTTTCTTGAGATTATAAGAAAAGGGTATCCTTTTTAAGTTTAATTATGTTTTGACTTGGTTATTTTATTGGAGTAAAAATCTGCTGATCTCGTCCTATTCTCAAACTTACAAAATAGGAAGAAAACTTTGACAAACTTAATTAGATATATTCTAATGGTTAACACAACTTTTGCCTCTTTAAAAAACAGTCGTAGGTTTAAATCTACATTCTTATATTTACGTAACTAAGATATATATATAGAAAGACGTAACTAAGATATATATATATAGAAAGAGAGAGTAAAAAATTTTTTTTAGATTGTGGTATTTTAACCTAATATTTTATCTTTTCTAAATTAAAGAAAAAGATTAGATTTTGGAAGAAATTATCTTTGTGTCATATAATTTAATTAATACAAATATAATTTAAGTGTTAAAACACCTAAATCTAGTGTGAAAGTTCAAATTCTCAAATAAAAAATACAAACAAAGAAGAGAAAAAGGAAAGAAACCATCTTTATCTGATCCCTCTTGCTTCTGTTTTTATTTATTTAATTTTTTATTTTAGAGTGATTAGAATGAAACTATCTAGATATACAAATATATAAAAAGACCATATTGTAAGTAAATATCCAAGCATGGGTTGTAAGACGTAATCTGAAAAAGGCATGCATCCACTCACTTCCAAAGCTGAATTAATTTAGGTTAAAATATTACTTTTATTCTTGTACTATTTTCAGCTTTAATTTATCGTAGTTTTTGTATTCTCAAAATTACATTCAATTTTGGTTGGTTTTAATTTTTTTATCTTTAAAACCGTTTTTTGTTTTTGCCGTGTTTTTTAAAAATTATCATTTTTAGTCCATTAATTTTCACTTTTATCTCATGTATTTCAATCAAAAATTCAGCATGTATTAAAGATTTTTCATTGGGTACAACTTGACGTTAAAATTTTACGAAACAGAAACCAAAATTTTCACTTTTATAAAAATCAGAGAGAATAAAACAAATATTTTGCAAATATATGATTAATTAAAATATAAATGAAAAGTTAAAAATACATAGACGGAAATAGTATTTAAACTATTAATTAATTAAAAATGTAATTAGTGGCTTCCGCAACGAGTTATACACCTCCAGGCTCCGTTTCTTGTAATTTGCAGGTGGCCCCGCCGGACCTATTAATTAAGTATTAACTTCATCCCATCCTCATTAATTATATTTAAATTGATCCATTTATTTTACTTAATCACCAAATCAAGATTCTTTTTAATCATTAATCAATCCAAAAGAATAATCCTGTTAGTGTTTAATTCTAAATTTGACCAACAATATTCTACTTCTGTGCATATATCATTTTATTTTATTTCCTAAAGAATCCATGCCCCTCCTTGTCATTCTCTTAATTATATATTAAAAAAAAAAAGAATCTAGTTGGTTTGGCGCTTTTATAACTTTCTCAGAATTATGGAAAATTTAATATTATCTCATACCAAGCTTTGATAATGTTTATTCTATATATAATATATTATTTGATGTTACATATATGATCATATAATTAATCGCCTCAGGATGGAAGGAATTTATTGGCCTTGTTTGGTCTTATCAAAAACTTAATTAGGTCCTCCGTTTAAAAGAAAAAAAAGAACTAAAGTAGTTCGTGACACTTTTCATTAGATGTTTTTTCTTAAAAAGTTACCCCTAACAATTTTTTTTGGCAAGAGGTTAATTTGAACGTAGCTCAATCTGATTAAGGTATAGGGTAACTTTGTTCAAATCCCTACCCAATTTGTTGTTGATGAATTAAACAAGAATATATTAAAAAGAGTAGGATTTTTCAAATTATAATTTGAACCGTCCACTCCCGCTCCATTTCTTTATCTAAAATATCGATGTTAACCATATATAATCAATCATTTAAAGAAACATATCATTTAATCAAATAAAATCAATGCAATAAATTAAAACTTTTAAATATTATTTATGGCTATGTCGAAAAGAGTCTTCTAGCCGTTCTTACAATTTAGCATAATATATTTAAAGATATATTTTTTTTTAATGCAACAGGGCTGGGAGATAGGCGTCAAATATTTGAACATATTTGATTGGTATAGGTTCCTAATTTTTCTTTCCATTGAATTAAATTTGGTATCATATCATTTTAAAAGAGAAATATTACTTTTTGACCCCAAAAAGAACCAAAATCTTACCAAATCTGAACTATTTAAGATGGAAAATATTTGAAAGAAAAAATAAATTTAAAATCATTACGTTTTAAATTATGAATTTTAAGTTTCAACAAACAAAAATAAATATGATTTCAAATCCTTGAAAAACAAACGAGAAATACAGGAAAAATAAACAAGAAAGCCGTGACATAAACATATGCTATATTAAACATTAAAGTGAATGAATATTAAGCCGCGTAATAATAATAAAGACAAAAATAGTTAATATTTTTAAAACTTAAGTGACTAAAATAGATATTTTAAAAATTTAAATGAAATTAAAATAATTATTATTTAAAAGTTTAGAGAATAAATGATTTTTTAAATAAAAGTGTAGAGGACTAAACTAGCCATCTTATCGTAAACCTTAATTATTGGGCTTGGGTTATTTATGCCGCATAAATTTTGGAGGCTTCATTATTGGGCTTGGGCTTTTTATGACCTAAAATTCTCACCGTAACCGACGGAAGCATTCAAACGGAAAATTCCTTCCGTTCGGTAGCATCTCAACACAAACACAATCTTCTTCCTCTTCATTTTTCAATTTATTTTTTGTCAGTAAAATCGACGCGCTCGGCTTATCCCCGCGACTGATCGAACCTTTTGAAAATTTAGAAACCAGAGTCCCCGCCACTGCCCCACTTCTAGTGAGATCTCAGCGACGTCGACTTCACGCGCCGGAATATTCTTCGCGCGTCTCTTCCCATTGGACCGTGCAGTACACGGTCCACAATAACGCGTAATGATTGGAGTTCTTCGCACGGGTCTTCCGATGCCGTCCCAACGCGTCATATAATACGCTGCGGGCCACGATCTTCGCTTCAGCCGTACACCTGTAACGAAACGACGTCGAGAGGCGGTGAATTTTAGAGAGAAGGCGGTGGTCTTTTTCTTTCTCAACAGAACGGAGCCAGATCTGGCCGGAAACTTCGCTGTCTCCGACCTCCGACCTCCAAACCCTAACGTTTTCTGGCTTTTAAGCGTCTCCTCTGCGTTTATTTTACTTCACGGATGCGGTGTAATTGGTTTGTTTGATATTTCCCTTTTTTGTTTTGGTTTAATTTGGTGAGGAGCTTCGGCGTTTGGTGCTTAATTTCTCGGAGATTTGAGTTTCTTGTTGTTTTGTCTGAATTTTTTTTTTCGGGTGAGGGAAACCCTAGGTACGGATAATTCGACTTTTTGAGGATAGAAAGAGGGTTTTAGGGTTTTGGGTATCGATTATTTGTATGGCTTCAGCGCCTATAGCTGGAGGAGGAGATGAAGATAGAGTGAAGCAGAGGTATTCGGAGACTAAGGTTTACAGAAGAAAAGCGTTCAAAGGTCTGAAGAACAAGAATACGGCTAGTGTTACCGCCAGTACCACTGTGTCCACCACCACCGACAAGGATGGGAGCAGCAAGAATGGAAATACTGTCGCCGCTACCTTCAGCAATGTTAAAAACTTAAACAACAATTCAGACCAGGCAGTGCCGCATTCAGAAGCCTCAGAAGATGCGAATCTATCGCAGCAGCAGCCTTCACCGAGGTTGGGCGCTGCCTCTGATGATTTGACGAGGCTTAATGGAGAGGCATCGGTGGGACCGACTGCGCTGGCAACCGAGGACCCGTCTTCTGGGAATGGCATCCTTAAGATGGGTTTGGACAATCAGAGTCGGGTCAATGGGGCGTCGAAGCCGAAGCAGGAAATGCAAGAGCTTCGGCGGAAATTCGAGAGTGAGCTTGAAATTGTGAGAAATTTGGTTAAGAGGATTGAAGCCATACAAGGGCAGTTAAATAGTGGCCATAGTCATTCTCACGTGTCAACAATGGAATTGGCTGATAACGGTCGTGGAGCATATCATGTACATTCGGAAGTTGGTTCTGTTGGTGTTCCTCCAGATGGTACCAGACCACTGCACCGGTTAAACATATCAGTTCTGGAGAATGGTAAAGGGGTTAATGAATTCATGGAAAGAGAGAAGAGGACTCCGAAAGCAAACCAGTTTTATCGCAATTCTGAGTTCTTGCTTGCAAAAGATAGGATCCCTCCAGCTGAGAGTAATAAGAAGTCCAAATTAAATGGGAGAAAGCATACTAGACGAAAATTTAAGCATGGTTTTGGAATGGGTACCAAGATCTTCAATTCTTGTGTTTCTCTACTTGAGAAATTGATGAAGCACAAGCATGGTTGGGTGTTCAATACTCCTGTTGACGTAGAGGGGCTTGGTTTGCATGATTATTTTAGCATTATCAGACATCCAATGGACTTGGGTACTGTGAAGACGAGGCTGAACAAGAATTGGTACAAATCTCCAAAAGAATTTGCGGAGGACGTGAGACTTACTTTTCATAATGCTATGACTTATAATCCAAAGGGTCAAGATGTTCACGTAATGGCGGAACAGTTACTGAAAATCTTTGAGGACAGGTGGGCTATAATAGAATCAAATTATTATCAGGAGATGAGGTTGGGAATGGAATATGGGGCTGCTCGTCCAAGTTCTAATTCAATAAGAGCTCATTCCGTAACACTTCCTCCCCTTGATATGAGAAAGATTCTACGGGGGACAGAGTCATTCATAAATCCAGCTGATTCCAAGACACAACCGATGAGTGTGACTCCGTCAGCAAGGACACCTTCGCTGCAGAAACCGAAGGCAAAAGATCCCTTCAAAAGGGATATGACTTACAGTGAAAAGCAAAAGCTCAGTACGAACCTTCAGAATTTACCCTCTGAGAAGCTAGACGCCATTCTGCAGATTATTAAAAAGAGAAACTCTGAAATTCTCCAACAAGATGATGAAATTGAAGTAGACATTGATAGTGTTGACACAGAAACTCTGTGGGAGCTTGATAGACTAGTTACGAATTACAGGAAGAGTTTAAGCAAGAATAAGAGGAAGGCTGAACTTGCCATTTTGAAGGCTCAAGCACAAGCTGAGCATAATGACCGGGAGAAGGTAAGCCCTGCATCTAATTTTCCAGATTCATTTGTTCCAATTTGAATTATCAATTTCTGCTGTTTGCTAAGGAAAGCTCTTCTGTTCTCTCGTATAGACCCCTGCCTCGGATGGTTCAAAGTTACTTGGAGAAATTAGAGCAGGTCAGTCTGTTGATATACAAAATTGGGTTGGGTTTTGCTTTCTTAATTGTTGTTAGGTGAAGAGAATTTCTAAATTTATTTTGTTAATCTCAAGCAGATGACAATATTGTTTCCTCTTCATCACCCATCCGAGGGGGACAACAGCAGGATCATTCAAGTAAGACCAGCAGCTCAAGTGGCTCTAGTAGTGATTCTGGATCTTCTTCTTCTAGTGGTAAGTACGGCGTTTTTCTACTTAAATTTGCTTATAAAAACATCATAGCAGTTCGTTTTGTTGAAAATTTGTCTACACAGGCAGTCTTATATCAGCAATTTTCTCTTTAAAATTATGTATTGCAGATTCTGATGATAGTGACAGTTCTTCAGCATCTGGATCTGATGCTGGATCACCAATGCATTGATTTTCTGTTCAGGTAGTAATGGATGGAACTAAGTTTTTACACGCATTGATTTGGTTTTTTTACATGCATTTATATTTTGTTTCCAAGTTTTCTTTTCACCATTTCCAGAATTCATTCCTTGTAAATTTCTTCCAGGTCTATCGATATAATAAACATTATCCCAGTTTCACCATTTTAATTATTATTGTGATTCCTTTGTATACTTTATTTCATTAGGTAATCGAGTATAATTTCAAATTTTATTAGTTTTCATTTATAAAAAGAATGACGTACTCTAATTATTTATTTTATTCGTTTTGGTATGGAACAAGACTTGTGTGCATTGGGATATGACATTGTTATATGCTGTCTTTAACTTCTGCCTATATATGGGGAACTATTTATTATATTTTTTTAATTTCAATTTTTTTTATAATTTTGTTGAAGTTACTTATCAAGAGACAAGAACATCAACATTTCAGAAAAATTATCGTCTTATGTCTTATGTGATATAGATTCAGTTTCACTTGTGTACTTCGTCAAGTGTAATTATCTTAAATTCAGAGTCATCTATGAATAACATGAAATGCTAATTACGGTAAAATCATAACTTAGTATACACTGCTGACTGCTGAGGTTATTGTTTTAGCGTTTAGGTGCTTGATTTTTAACGTACTATTTGGCATTTTCTATTGTGTTTTTGGAGGAGAAGTATTTCTTGATGCGATTCTATTTACATGTTACTTCTTTTCTTCGATGGAGCATAAATACTGTTCTTATATCCGCCTTTTGTTGTGCAAATCCGATGCTGAATAATTGCATCTCTGTAGCGTAGCATGTTGTGTATCAATTGTTCACTGTTTCTACTCTTTTATCATCTTGAACATCAGTTATTTAGTTTTAAGACAATGCCCAAATTTACAACAATTAATAACTTGATTGAAGTTTAATGTGGAAATAGTAGCCTGACACCAGAAACTCGTCCGTAGATCCCATTTAGTATATAATGTGAAGACTTGTTTATATTTTAGTTGCACTCCCATTTATATTTCTCACAGTTGACAGTGTTGCACTTAAAAAGTGTGTTCGTTATCTAGTAGGTTGAATAACGATTGCTTGATATTTATGGATTTGAAGGTAGATTGATGCCTAGAGGAAGACTTCAGATGGTGGGTTTGAATCTGCAGCTGGTGTACAGTGAAAATGTTGTGAAGGTACCTTCAAGCAGTCCTGAATGCGAACTAAGGGTGGTCTATTAGGCGATGATAGAATGCTTAGATTTAGTCTCTCTTGTTATGGGAGGATTGCCTCCATTGTAATAATTTGTAACATATGGTAGAATCCGATTAGAAATTAGATGGCGGTAGTTTTGGCGTACCGAATATGGCATTGCTTGCTTGCTTGCTTTCTTTCTCTACTCATGCTCCACTCAGCATGTTACATTCTATCGGATTCTTTGTTTTGGCACAATTCTGTAGTTGCAGTTGCCTCACAGTCATGAATTGTAGACCTATCATGTGTCGGAATTAATTTGTAGCTTTCTTTCTTAAAATAAAGTCTGCAAACTTTGATAGTGTACAGAAAAGATGTTCAAAATTTATATGGTGTGCCTGATGTGATGTGATAAGAGTAGCAGAAACTGTATTTTAGCGGTTTGGAGTTATTGATTCTTAGAACATAGTAGAAAACTGATACACATGCTCAAAATTTTATTCACCCTGATGAAACAGAACTTCAAAACTATTCCCATTCTTCCCAACCCTTTTTGAGGATTTAAAACAAAAGGAAAAACTCAGAAATTCACATAAACACAGCCCATAACTCTGCTTCATCATGCCTTGTGTTCCTTTCTGGAAGCAGCTTCATAGTGCTCTTTCTTCTCATATCCTTGGCCTCTTGCTTCTTCCTCCTCGCCTAACCCAAGATCAAACCCTAACGTGCTTTGTTTTCCAGTCTCATCACCAGGCCCAATCACTAAATCTTTGGTTGTCTGTGCAATCTCATATATGGTCTCCCCAATCGCCCCCAATAACCCACCATCACCCGCTCTCCCCTCTTCCCCTCTCTTCTCATATCCTACTCCTCTTCCCCTTTCCTTCACTTCTTCTCTCGCCCCTTCAAAACTTTCTTTTGTTTTCTCATACATTGATTCTTTCTCAGCCTG